TCTCCGAGGTGGCGGAGGCGGGCAGCGCAGGAGTTGGCGGGGAGCAGACGTGGATGCTGCGTGAGCGTCCCCTGGCGTGGATGCTGCCTGACGTGGCCGTCGGCGGTGTCTCCGGCGCAGGCTTCCAGGCGGCCCTGCGACTTTCTGCCCAGCCTTCGGCCGAGGACGAGCACGCGGCCATGGCAGAGCCGCAGGCCATGGGGCCCGAGCCCTTCGTCGAGGATGCCGAGGCTGACGATTCCGGCGCCATCCCTGCGGAGAGGCAAGTCGCTGCGCAGCGCGTCCGCTTCGGCCCCCAGCTTGGAGTCCGCGAAGCGGAGGCCGATCGGGCCATCGAGCAGCGTAGGGAGGTGGAGCGGTCCCGTCGGCGGCGACAGCGAGCCCGAGCCCGTGGGCGAGGACGACTCCCTGCTGGCGCTGGCCGCCCCGAGGGCGACAGTGCGCTCGGACGGGCGTGCCGCTCGCGGCCGCGGCTGGGCGGCGGGCGGACCGCGAGCCCAGGGGAACCTTGCAGGCGATGCTGGAGCCCGCAGGGCGTTTTCGCGGGTTTGGCGCTCGTGAGTGCGCGCCGAAGGATGGTCCGTCTCTCGCTGCCACGTTGCCGTGCGGTACTTGATGAGTAATACGCGGGAGGCCTTAGCGCGGTTCGTCCCTCACGTAATAGTCCCAGGCCCGGGCCGAGGAAATCGGGGGCAGGACCTCCTCTACCCCAGGTTTGGCCGAGGCCGCCGCGGTCCACGGATTGATTGATCATGTGATTGATCGATGTAGTATTGCGATCGATAGTTTAGCATTTTCGCTTGCAGGCCGATGCGCAATCCGTTTCTCAAAAGTGGGGCGTCGGCGATGCGGGCGCGTCCGCTGCCCTCGGGTAGCGTTTCCGCTCGCGCTGAAGACGGTAGGGTGCAGAGCCACCATGCTCCACTTCCGTTAGCTGGCCAGAGACGAGGCCCAGCTGGCTGTCGCCAGCACCCTGACACTACGTCGTGGGGCTGAAGTGGCAGCGGCTCTCCACTCAACCGCGGCCCGACAGCTTCGCACGAGCCTTGGAGGAAACAGCGCGGAAGGCGCGGCCGCGCTCCGAGAGGCGCTGGAGGGCTGAGTCCGTCACAGAGGTGTGCAATTAGTCGATTGGGAGGGGCAAAGTTCAGGGGAGACCTCTTGAGATCCAGGGTGTACGCCTTGTCGGCGGCTGGCTATCGGCGGCGGAGGAGAGGGACCAGTGTAAGCCCAGCACGCATCAACGATGTTGCAGAAGACCCTTCCCAGAACTCCTCCTTTACATGTCCCTACCATACTATATTTGAGTTGCGGACGTGCCCCATCAGAAGACAACCGTCTGAGATTCCTTAACTGTACTAAAACACCAGTCCTGGGATTTCAATTCTGCGAATATATGTGATTGTTGCGTCCTGACAATCTTTAAACGTGCCCGAACGGAGTTCCTGGGACGTCAACGTTGCGATTAATCGTGATTGTTGCTCCCTGACAATATACATATAACGGCGCACCGGGTCCGGGGGCCCGGGGCCGGGACCTCGACCACAAATGTGGGCCCCGGGGGGCCCGGAGGCTCGTCGGACCGCCGGACGCCGTCCAAGATCGTTCGCAGGCGGCTTCGGAACGCGCTCCGATGGCTCCAGATGCCTTCAAGACGCCTGTCATGACACCAAGAAGGTCCCAGAAGCCTCCAAGACGCTCCGAGAGGCAGCCCAAGAGAGGCCCAAGAAGCAAAAATCGTGCCATTCCTATGGGAAAACGTATATTTTTCGCATGTTCGCCTCTTGGGCTTTCACCGCGTCCAAGACGGCCCAAGAGGCGCCCAAGACGGTCTACGAGGCCTCCGGGAGCGCTCCAAGGCTGCGCACGAGTGGCCCAGGACGGCCCCAAGACGGCCGAAGAGAGCCCCAAGACGAGTTCGAGAGGGGTCCCAGACGGAGAAAACCAACCTCGAATTCCGAGCTTCCGGCCCAAGAGGCTCCAGGAGGCGCCAAAATGCCGCCAAGAGGCGCCAAAAGGCTCCCAAAATCACCCCAAGACGTTCCGAGAGGCACCCCAAGAGAGGTCCAAGAAACAAAAATCGTGCCATTCCTATGGGAAAACGTATATTTTTCGCATGTTCGCATCTTGGGCTTTCACCGCGTCCAAGACGGCCCAAGAGGCCTCCAAGACGGCCTAGGAGGCCTCCGGGAACGCTCCAAGGCTGCGCACGAGTGGCCAGGAGGCCCCAAGGAGGCCTCTCAAGAGGCCCCAGGAGACCCCCAAGAGGCCCAAAGGAGGCCCCGAGAAGCCCCAAATCGGCCCCTAAAATGCTTCGAACCTGCTTCCAGGAGGCCCCCGACAGGTTCAGAGGCTCCCGAGAAGCCACGTCAAACTCCCAGCGAGCGGCCGGACGAGGCCCCCCACAAAATCACAAGAGGGTTCCAGTATTTGTATCCTTCAGCGCTCTCTGGCCTTCTTCCCCCTGCCCCCTTCCCTGCGACTTTCGTTGACTCAAGCTCGCCTCCTACTAGAACCTAAGCGCGCGCGAAGCGCGCGCGTGGTTCTAGTATGAACTATTGCCAGACCACATTTCTGGGAATTCCAGCCATCCGATATGGAAATATGTCGTTGTATACATTCAAAACGCCTGTGCGCGGCGCTAATGCGAGAGCCACATGTTGAGAAGAAACCAGCTCCATCCTTCAAACTGTTGCAGACATGACGAATGTGTTCGGCGCTGAGGCAAACATCACATGTTGAAAACCACCCGCCTGCCTCTTTGAAATTGTTGCAAATGTTTGAAGCGAATGGGATCGGCGCTAAGGCGAAAACCGCATTTTGAAATCCTTGAAATCCACCCGCCTTCCATCCTTGAAACTGTTGCACATGTCTAAGACGAATGGTGCCGGGCACTGAGAGGGAATCACATTTTAACCGAATGTGCTCAGCGCTGAGGCGAGAGCTACATTTCGGAAACCACTCGCCCTCCATCTTACAGCCTATTGCAACTTTCAAGCTTGAGGATTTCAACTGGTGTGGAAGTCTCGGGCGAAACGCCCGCCCCGCTCCACCAGCACGCCTGGAGGTGCGGCAGGGAGGAGCTATTCAGGAGGAGGAGGAGGAGGAGGAGGAGGAGGACCAGTGCGAACCCAAGACGCACCAGTGATCTTGTGATACAGCCTCCCTCCACGATCCCTCCTGGTAGGGCCTTCCTAAAATATGTTCACATCGTGGGAAGCGCCCCATTAAGACTTTTCAACGGTGTTATCTTACCTTTTCTGGTGATTTCAGCACCGCAGGTTACAATGACAGCTGCATCCTGACAAACCTAAATCGTAGTATCATAGCACCATTCCTTGGATGGTAATGCCGCGAACCAACGTACCTGTTGCATCCTGACAGTCTTATATCGTGCCAGAATTCCGTTTTTGGGACTCCACCCGTACGAATGGTTGAATATGTTCCAAATGTTAAAAAACGATTGTGCGCGGTGCTTAGGCGACAACCGCATTATGAAAACGGGCCGCCCTCCATCTTTGGAACGCTTGCAATCTCCAAGCTTCACGATCAGGCATGGTGAGGAAGTCTCAGACGTAACGTCCAGCCCGCTCGACCGACACGGATGGGTGGCGCGACAGGGTGGAGATATGTATAAGGAGAACGGATGGATGGATGAAGAGGAGAAGGAAACAAATTATACGTTCTCAAAGTATGGCGCAAATCCCACGAGCAACTGATTACGTGACCGTAAATTCGAAGTTCTTGCCACTCGAGTGCTGGATACAATTATGGGCCACCTCCAACACGGTAGGTGCCCTCCGCAGACACACCAATATTCAGTGCAGTGGTGGAGGCGTTACCAAAAGAAAGTGGCAGATTGATCCGCGGACCATACGATGGACCTCAAGCGATCTTGGTTCGAAGTCTTCGAGACCACCCTGGAAAAAATAGCCCGAGTGTAGTAATACAGACCGACGGCGGCGTCCTGGAGTGCGACTGCGCAGCAGCTGCATAGATAATCGCCTTCTGGGCTGGAGTGCGAGGAGGCTACACATGCGAGCCCCTGATGGTCCACGGCACGTTTTTGCACCCGCCTTGCAGCGCGTTTGCAACAGAAGCCATAGCGCTCGACGAGGCTTCGAAGGAAGTGGCCCGCCTTCTGAATACATAGATATCACACTGTTGCAGTCTAGGCTGCTTGCGCCGCGCCAGAGAAAGAACGAGGAAGAGGAGGACGTGGACAAGGAGAGGAGGATAGATTTCCCACTATTTCCCATTGCGTTCGGGGCTTTACGTGTAAGGAAGGGGCCCTGACGTGGGTGTACACTGACTGTACACGACCTGTCCGAGCTGTGGGGCGTGGTGGATTAGACGGGGTGGCTACAGGGGGCGGCCTGTCGTCGGGCGACGTCTGTCCCAGAACCTGAACAGCCTTTTTCCGAGAGTCCTTCAACTCCCTGGTTGGCAACGCTGATTCTGGTCGGCCAGCCAACGCTTTGTGGCGTAGCAGGCACAGCGCTTACAGATCATGTGAGAAGCACGGATCACAGTATGATGGCCTGTGTTCCTTGCCTGGGTCATGAGGGGGCTTCGCGGCGTACCAACCGCTTCTTCGACCAGGAGAGGAAGGTTCCGAGGAGGAGGAGTAAGAGGAGATGGTGGTGGTAGGACCTCGACAGGCGACCTTCGGAGGAGGAGGGGTAGGGGAGGAAGGACAGGAGGGGGAGGAGGAGGAGGAGGAGGAGGAGTAGGAGGAGGAGGAGGAGGAGGAGGAGGAGGAGGGGAGACGGGAAGGGAGAAACGACAGGAGGAGGAGGAGGAGGAGGAGGAGGAGGAGGAGGAGGAGGAGGAGGAGGAGGAGGAGGAGGAGGAGGAAAGGGAGAAACGACAGGAAGAGGGGAGAAACGACAGGAGGAGGAGAGGGAGGAGGGAGGAGGGGGGGAGAAACGACCAGAGGAGGAGGGGAGGAACGAAACACGACAGGAGGGAGGAGGGGACCGCCGCCCTACGCCGTGGAGGTCCCTGGCCTCGCCGGCGCCGTCGGCTGCGGGCAGCGGCTCTGCGAGCACAGTGGGTAGCAGGACGACACCACCGACGGAGAAGCACGACCTGGACGAGACGCTGCAACGCTTGCGCCAGTCTGGGAAGGCCTTCGCCAGCGGAGAGGACGATGAGGAGGACGGGGAGGGTGACGACATTGGGGATAGGGATGACGAGAGTGCTGCGGTTGCTGTTGCTGCTGCTGCTGCTGCTGATAGATGATGACGATGATGATGATGATGACGTTGATGATGATGATGATGATGATGCTGATGATGATGATGATGATGATGATGATGATGATGATGATGACGATGACGATGATGATGATGACGTTGATGCTGCAGCTGATGATGCTGATGAAGATGATGACGACGACGACGATGATGACGATGACGACGATAATAACGACGGGGATGACGACAATGCTGACGAAATTGGCGATGCTGACGGTGATAACAATGACAAGGATGGGGATGATGAGAATGTTGCTGTTGCTGTTGCTGTTGCTGCTACTACTGCTGTTGCTGTTGCTGTTGCTGATGATGATGATGGTGATGATGACGATGATGATGATGATGATGATGATGATGATGATGATGATGATGATGATGATGATGATGATGATGTTGCTTTGGCTGTGGCTGTGGCTGTTGCTGTTGCTGTTGATGTTGCTGTTGGTGCTGCTGTTGCTGTTGGTGCTGCTGTCGTTGTTGCTGTTGTGGTTCTTGTTGATGATGATGGTGATGATGATGATGATGATGATGATGACGTTGATGCTGCAGCTGATGACGACGATGATGACGATGACGACCATCATGACTAAGGGGATGACGACAATGCTGACGAAACTAGCGATGCTGACGATGATAACAATGATCAACATGATGACGATGATGACGAGGATGAGGATGATGACAATGATAATGATGACAACGACGACAACGATGCTAACGATGATGATGATGATGATGATGATGATGATGATGATGATGATGATGATGATGAGGATGATGATGCTGATGCTGATGATGCTGCTGATTATGATGCTGATTCTGATGCTGATGCAGAACGTGATGCTGATAATGATGATGATGATGATGATGAGGATGATGAGGATGATGATGCTGGTGCTGATGATGCTGATGAGGATGACACTGATACTATTGATACGGATGCTGATGCTCAAACTTGATGATGATGCTGACGGTGGTGATGTTGATGCTGATGCTGCACATGATGCTGCTGCTGATGATGATGATGATGATGATGATGATGATGCTGGTCATGGTGATCATGACAATGATGAGGATGATAATGCTGATGATGATGATGATGATGATGATGATGATGCTGATGCTGAGGATGATGATGCTTATGCTGATGCTGATGATGAAGATGCGGATGATGCTGTGTATGGTGATACTGATGATGACGACGCAGATGCTGAACATGATGCTGATACTGTTGCTGCTGATGATGGTGGTGATCATGATAAGGTTGATGATGATGCCGATGATGCTGATGATGATGTTGATGTTGCTGCTGATGATGAAGATGTTGATGATGGTGTTGATGATGCTGATGTTGATGCTGACGACGATGATGCTGAACATGATGATGACGATGGTGATGACGATGATTCTGATGGTGCTGATGCTGATACTGCTGCTGTTGACGACGATGATGATGATGAAGAGAAGGAGGATGAATATCAGGATGGGGAGCAGGAGGAAGAGGAGGAGCAGGAGGTGATGATGATGGTGATGATAATGATGCTTCGTATGACGATGGCTTTGACGTTGATGGTGCTTCTGACGACGACGATGATGATGCTGCTGATGACAATCAGGATGAGAGGATGATGATGAGGATGACGACGATGGAGATGATGATGTTGATGAGTATGATGTTGTTGCTGATGATGATGCTGGCGACGATGCTGATGGGAAGAACACACGGGGATGCTGCTTGCGAGGACGATGCTGATGTTGTTGTTGATGCTGATGCTAGGGTGAGGGTGAGGATGAGGATGAGGATGAGGATGGTGGTGGTGGAGGTGGTGATGGCCGTGGTCGTTGTGGTGGCTGTGGTGGATTACCATGCTCGTGCCTACCATTTTGTAATGGGTCTGGATCTTTACCTCCCTCCACCTGATTGTGTGTATACAGCAGCACGCTCGCTTTCATGAAGCTTCATATCCGATTACTCTCCCGTGTAGAAATTTCTCTTGTGCAATGCACCCCGAATCCTCTCCTGAAGCCGCCCACGCCACTTCCGTGAAGTACCGAGACACGGTGTGCGACCAAAATGATATTCGTTGGGACATCGGAAGGAGGCAGGACATGATTGATTGCTTGGATTGTGTGGCTGCTGCTGAGATGGAAACTTCGGCCATTCAGCTACAACAGGGCCTCATATCTGTCTCCTCTATGGCGTGTCACTGGAGCCAACCTGGCATGCCCTGCCACCTCGGGCATGTGGTCGGGACCGTCGGGACATCCTCAGCCACCTCTCCCTGGACTCACTTACTGGTGTGAGCTAAGTACACGAACTCGCCACGGTGAAAGTCGACGCACGCAGCGCCAACAACAAGCACCTGATGCTGGGACTGCGCGCGACAACCTCTACGCCCGGCACGCAGGCATAATAACTCAATGCGACAGTGGTGTGGTCGTGCGCGAACGGCCTTGGCCTGTTCGGGCCCACCATCTTACGTCCCCGAAGTCTCCGACGCATGCGAAGAATACCATCGGAACACCATCCGGTTTTGAAAGCGCTGTTGCCCTCGCGTGGCAAGTGTAAGCTATGGCTACCGGGGATTCAGTGCTAAAGTTACAGCCTTGGCCGTAGCTCGGCGATTACATCGGCGCGGTTACGCCGAGATGCGGTTTGCGAGTTGCTTTGTGAGAAGGAGCGACCGTGTCATGTGATTCTGTCGCATTGAGTGACAGTGTCATCCGTCTCCTGGGGGCGTGAGGGGCAGATATGACGGGAGGCGAACCGCAGCCTTCGCAAACCGCACCCATTGTAGTCGCCGAGTAGCGCCCACCTGCGCAGCATTGAATACAGAGTTCCGCTGCTCCTATGCTGAGCTCTGAAGTCCGTTGTAAAGAGACATCCGTTGTCCCACTGAAAGCAGCCTTGTCCCACTGAAAGCAGCCTTGTCCCGGAGGTTGAAGGCAGCGCTGCTGCCCCCCCGCTGCAGCGCGGCATTCAGGTGGGAGGTGGGGGGAATGCGCTTCCTCAGCAGCCCACGCGGTTCCAGGCGGGAATATTGCCCCCCCCATCTGGGGGGGCCCCGCAGCACGGCTGCGCGGGCCCGGGTCGCACCGCCGATTGCGGCTTCCTCCGCGCGGGTTGCCGCCGGCCTTCCGCTCGCCAGCGATCACAGTCTGTTGCTCATACCCGTCGGTCTTGAGCTGCTGGGTGGCGCCGCTTGCTGCTTGAGCAGCGGCGCGAGGCGGGTCGCCCCTGGCGATTCGGAATCCGACCCGAGCGGAGCGTTCTGCTGCGTGATGGCGCGCTCGGGAGGCGGCGGGCGCGGCCGCCGCAAACCCTTCTTTCAAGCACGTGAAGGTGCGCGGACTGATCGCAACCCTCGAGCTCTCCATCGACGCGGTAGCGCAACCTTCCAGAGGCGATGGGCTGATGCGCCAGCTTTGGCTCATCGTGCCCGTGCTCGCCGCTTGCGTTTGCATCGCAGGCAGCGCGCGCGCCGGGCGCAACTTTGCGACGCGCAACTTCAAAGTCTCCACCGAGGTCATCGAGGGCACTTCGCAGCGGGAGCGCAACCAGCTGCAGCGGGAGGGGCGCTCGGGCTCAGGGCTCGCGGCTGTCGGAACTGCTGGTGGAGGATGCGTCGTTTGTGATGGTGCGCCCGCGAGTTCAGCGAGCGCAGGTTCGCAGGCCCTCGCGCGCGGCCTCGCCCGCGGGCCGGCCAGCGCCCGCGAGCGCCCGCGTGGCCTTGGGGGGCCGCGCCTCTCCAGCGATCAGCAAGCTCGACTCCCCGGCGGCCTGGGGGTAGCAGGCGAAGCTGCATTGTCACCGGCGCCCGCAGGTCTACGCGGGGCCAGTCCATCCAGCGCTCATGGGGCGCAGGGTAGCGGTTCTGGCGACTGTGTCACTGGGCATTGCGTTGCGCGGCCGGGGCTGCAAGCCAGTCCAGCGGCGGGGGCAGCGCCGAGGCGAGCAGCGCGACGAGCTGCCGACGCCGCGGTCCGCAAACCGACCCCCCCCGACTGGACTCGCTTCGACGTCGCCGCGTTATTGCTAGCGCTACGCGGCGACTCGCGCGAGACGCGCACGCGAGAGTTGCGAGGGCAACCAGCGCCTCCGGCGGTGGCGCGCCCCTCATCATTGGTCGTAAACATACCCGTGCCCGGGGTCGGCTTGGGTGAAGGGGCCGCCCGTTGGATTGGGCGCTTGCCACTTCGCCCGGTCAACCTGCGACGTGCGCGCTGTCTCAGCATCCGCGCGTCAGGGCGCAACGACGCGCTGAACGGCTGGTTGTTCGATTGCAGCGACATGGTTTGGTTTGCGTCGGGGACGTCTGAGGGCATCGGGGTTGTCCGCGGGGTTTGGAACAGCATTGGAGTGGCGGTGCCTGTCCCATTGGGACAGGCGCCAAAACTTTGTTGCGTTTGGGCCTGCCCGCAGGGGCGTCGCTGCAAACTCGCGCTCCCCCGGGGGCCGCGGCGACCGCGTTCGGGGGCGCGCTCGGGGGCCGCGCGTGCGCCCGAGAGCGATTTCGACAGCGCCGCCTCGACTAGGCGCGGGTGCGTGTCCCGGGCCGCCGTCAACGCGCGTCGGCGACTGCGCCCCCGCGCGCCCGGACCTGGGGTGGCGCCAGGCGGGTTTTCCAGGAGGCAGCCTACGGCGACCGCGCCTGGCGCTCGGGGCCCCGGGCGTTTGGGGCGAGCGTGGGGTTGCAGCGGCGCCCGCCCAGGACACCCAGGGCGCGCTTTGCGCGTCGAGCCCCAAATGCTTGATTGCGCGCCTTCGTGGGCGCATTTCCGAGCGACCTCCTTTGGCCCGAGAGCGACCAATGCGCGGTCGGCCACGGCGTCCTGCAATGTTCCATGGGCCGTCGCATCTGCACTTGCGCA